CAGAGTAAAACTCCCAACACTGAGTCAAGGCTAAAACCAAACCCACATACGAGCCAGAGGGCACCAATCCATTCATCTCACTCTACCTGCTCAGAGCACTCAAGGCTACGTGTTATCACAGAACGGATTGTACCCTTCAAAGCCTAAAAATCTGTTCCATATCCTGGGAAATGCATGCCCCTTTCTGGACCCAGATCAAAAACGGCCAGCACCCCCCAGGCTGCCACGTCTGCAGAAAGCTCAGGATTTCCGCACTGGCAGCCGCAGACCAATCTGGTAGGAACTTGGCCCTGACCACATAGGTGTGAAATGTAAGCACATCCAGTACAGGGTTCAGACATCCTGGACTCCCATCTCTTGCCGTTTTGTCTCCTACCAGTCATTCTTCTTGAAGCACCAGGCCCCAGGGCACCCTTTCTAGACAAGCTTAGAAACTTGGAGTGAAGAACTTTCCAAATTTACATTTGTATTACTTCTGATCAGTAAGAAATGTTCACTTTCAGCCCCCTATGAAAATTTCTCCGAAGACTAAATTATGAGCAAACCTCCAAAATAAGCTTTCCTTCCAACTCTAGTCTCTACCTTTGGCCTCCCCAGCACACAGTCCCCCAGGCTGTGGGCTCCTAGAGAATCATATGGATGGTCGTTCTTCTCACCCTTATATCTTCAAGTCCTTTTGTTCTGTTTCTCAACATGTCTTTGGCAAGCCTTGTCTCTGCTTCTTCTCTGTCCTACTCCACGGTCAGGGCTGCAGCTTCCTAGCTGGTCTCTGGGCATTAATTTCTCTATCTGATTCATTCAAGCATAACCGCCTGGGTAAGTTTTACGTCAGCTGGAGACCGCTGTCATCAGCCACTGCTCTGTGCCATCCCTTCAGTTGGTCTAGATCCCAACTCCTGATGGAATCATGACATAGCTCCGGGTGCTTCAATCCATCACTTCCTCTGATCCCCAACAACCACCCTTTGCTCTATCAGTCAGCTCCACACTGATCCTGGTCTCTGGCCTCTGGGTTTCTGTGCAGGTTTCTCTTCTCCAGCAGAGTTTTGAAAGAGTTTTCTATGTCATGACATCCACCTGCCTACCCTCACGTAGTTATATGGGACTATTACAGAATATCTTCACTCTATAAGGGATATATCAGATCCTTTCAAATTGTACAGTATTATTTTTTATAAGTAAACCAGTTCATTACATTTTAAATTATTAAAAAAGCTGTTAAAAGAAGAAAACATACATTTCTAAAGCAATATGTATATAACATTATTTAATCTCTCTTAACAACCCTGTAAGGTAATGACTTGGGGATGTATGTGTGTATGAAATTCTCTCTCTCTCTCTCTCTCAATCTATCTCTGTTTATTTAACTATATAACAAGAGGCCAGTGAGGCTATGTAACTGACCAGAAACTTAGAACTCCATTTTGTGTTAACAATAGATGTGACTATTGATTCTGTCTTTAAAGATGATTCTAGAGATTGGGTCCAGTGAGTCAAATTTCTCAAAAAAGAAATTTCTGACTTAATTATTTTTCTGTTAGAAACTTTGTCTTCTTTTGTGCCACAACCTCAGAAAGGGAGATTTAAAGGGTCTCCAAAAATTCATGGAAAATGTATATCACAAAAAAAAACCACGTATAGATTTTACACCAAAATAAACTCATAACTTCATTATCTTTTCCACGAACTTTTTGAAGCCCCCTGGTATATGTGTATATGAAAAAGAATCGCACTCAGAAAATCAGAGCCCAGTCCTACCACGTCGCTTAATTAACACACCAAGGAGAACACAGATGGCTCCAGGAGGCATCTCTATAGCTTTCTTTCAACAGTTTCCTGGAGAATCATGTTCTTAATTGCAACATATAGTCCACTTACCTGGGACCTTGTGCCTGGGATGTTCTACTATCATTTCTTCTGTGATTTGTAAAACAGAGGCTCCAAACCCTAGACCATGGACTGGTGCTGCATGGCCTATTGGGGCTAGGCCACAGACTGGTGTTGGTCCGTGGCCTGTTGCCCTTCCCAAACCTGGCCAAGCATGGAGGGATGGGAGTTACGGGGTAGGGAGATGGGCTATAGGCACATGAGTGAGGCTTTGTTTCTGTTTTCAGCCCCTTCTCATTGCTCACATTGCTGCCTGAGTTCCCCTCCAGTCAGATCAGCAGGAGTATTGGTTCTCATGGGAATGTGAACCCTATTGTTGTAGGATTGTTTCATTACATATTGCAACATGGTAGTGGTGGAAATGGGGTCCATGGTGGATGTGGTATTCTTGGGTCATCCCAGGACCATTTCCCCACTCCCTCTGTGGAGGGATTTTCTTCCACGAGGCTGGTCCCTGGTCCTGGGAAGGTTGAGGACTGCTGTTGTAAAAGTGCCAAGGTCAGTCTAACTTCTACAGATAATGGGTTGATTCATTAACACTTCTCAAGTGTTTCTAGAAGCCTCTGAGTACAGAGGACCATGTATAATAAAAGGAAAATGTGTTTTCATGGTGATTTATCATTGGCATGATTTTTTTTGAATGAAAGAATGCTTGGAAAAATTTTGAAATTTTAAATCTTAGGTGTAGAAGTAGTTTCCTTCCCTGAGGCTACCCCCTCACCCTGTTGCCATGGGTGATAAACAGCAGACTCAGAAGTGCAGGAAGACATTACTTATATAGCTGTAGTCACCAACTGCTCCTGAGGAAGCTGGCAGTTTAGCTCTAGAAGAACGTGGCCAAAACCTGGGGTTAGAACTCAGCCCCAAATAGTATGATTTAAAAAATAGATAAAAGCCTTTCCTAGTACCAAATGGGCACCTGTCACGGGGAGCATGAGTTCAAGAGGTTGTGAGGACAGAGTAGAGGTGATGGCTCTTGTTTCAGAGCACAGAAAGTACGGAGTGTGCTACAGGTCACTTCAGGAAAGGCAGAGGACAGGGCAGGTTGGAACTCATAGATAACAAAATGAATGTTAAAACAGAAAATAAATGGGAAGTTAAAAAAGGGGGTAAGGAGGAGAAAGGAGGGGAAAGAAATGTGGGGAAAAGAGAGGCAGCGGTGAGAGTGACCAGAGGGGTTCAACCTTCCCATGAGCATTTTTTTTTAAAAAAAAGAGAGATTTTTGCTAAATGGTGTGTGTGCTTGCTGGAGAGACAGAGAGAAAGAAAGCAAGAAATCACCCCCCCCAGGGGGATGGCCACACCACAATCCCTTTTCCATTCTCCTCTTAGGATTTTGGGCACATGCGCACATATGCTAGTGTGAGATTTAAACCACTAGGTCCGGGACTTGAACCATAGTTGACTCCATGGGAATCAAGAGATGTAACCTCTATGCCATCTGCTGGTTCCCCATGAGTATTTTAAGAGCTTAGTAAAATGTGTTCAAATTCTCATTTCAAATCATGTCAAACACTGGGCAGCAAATGAGCCGGGTTACTGCACCATGAAAGGCTCTAACCAATGCCTCTCTCCTGCCCTTAAAGTGAGTCTCCTCTCTTTGACAGCTTAGAGTCTCTTTCAGACCCCAAGACTGAATAGATGAAGTCATGACGTGCCTGGAAAATGGCTCCATTATGATGTAACAGTTAAGAAGATTTATCTTCTATAATGTTAGTACAACCCTCATCAACAGGAACTCAGAAACAGGTGCCTATGACATATGCAAACTCGTCATTGTTCACTTATCTACTGAGAGAGAAACTGGGCTAGGTTCTGGGCTATAGAGATGAAGAAGATTCAAGGGAGCCATCTACTAGGGATGGCAAACAGGAAGTAAGATGATACCAATGCGCCCGAACGAACGTCATACGGAAATGTGTCCACGCAATGGCAACACAGGAAAAGCAGTTCCTGGACTGAGGAGTAGACAGAAAGCCTCAAAGGGAGTAACCTATGTAAACCGAGACTTAAATAACAGTCTTCCAGGGAAACAAAAGAGGATGATGGATGAAGCAGCCACTACGTGAAAGGGAACAGCACATCAAGTGGGAAAAGCACGTGAGGCCTGGTGAGACACGAGCAGATGACTGGTATTTAGCCCCAAGCAATAGAGAGGCCATGCAGATTTATTTGATTGTTTTTTTTGTTTGTTTGTTTTATTTTTAAAATTCTGCTATAGGGTGGTTGAGCTTGCCAGAGAGAGACAGAAAGAGAGAGAGAGAATGAATGTGAGAAAGCATCTCACCAGGGGGAATGTCCATGCTGTAATCTCTTCTCCTTCATACTCCTCTTGGGACCTTGGACATACACACACGCATATTTGGTGTGCTCCTTGAGTCACTGGGTCTGGGACTCAAATTGCACAATCGTGTGGGATCCAGACACCTTAACCACCATGCCATGAGCTGGTCTGCCCATGTAGGACGTTATGGAAGGCTCTGACAAGCTCAGATTTATGCTTTTGAAATGTTCTGTGATGAAAGAGGACCAGGTCCTGGAAAAATCTAGCCTGCATATGTAGGCCACAGATTGGGGGCTGGGGATCAGTGTGCCATGGTCACAGTTTTCTACCTGCCCCCAGTCTTCTGAAGGGCTGAGTCTTACATTTATCAGACCACTTCTTTGGAGTTTAGTGGGATAATTGAAGTAGAAAACACAGGAAAAGGATGTGAACCTAGTGGCTAAACTGATTTATAAAATGAAGTGCTAAATTAAAGAAATTGGGGGAATAAAAAGTGAAAGGAAAGGCTTCCAGATTAGTAGTAGAGTTTTCCATGATGCTGGAGGGAAACTGGAAAGAAATCCACAGGGAATCTTGGGAATATGAGAAGCAGTGATGGGAATGGATGGGAAAGGGGGATTGCAATGTGTTGCCATGGTCCATTTAATGTCATTTAATGTGGGAGAGAATGGAGTTCCCTTGTGATTACTTTTAGCAACCAAACTGCACTACTTGACCCTGATGTGCTTGGGGATTTTTATATGAATTACATGAATCATTGGCTTTTAGAAAGTTGCAACATACATCATTTGATTTGACTTAAAGATATCCAAGCAAAGACTTTACATACCTGCCCGTTTTTGCCTTAGTGACTCTTCACTGAGTGCTTCATGTTCATGGAGAATCTGTAAGAATGGTTTTTGAAAATAGCAATTAATGTTAAAGAAGTATTTTCACAACAGCTTTCTGCTCCCACACCCCTAAATGATAGAGCTGAGTTGAAGGCTGCAGATTGAGGTAAGTACCATGTGCCCAGTGGATGCCAGGCAAACAGTAATTGCATGGTCGGCACACAAAATGGAGTTGCCTTTGCAGTGTGACCCAGGAATTCATCTTTCCTAGAACAGTCTCTAGATCCAGGAGCGGAAGAAATCAACATATCTGAGGTTCTCAGTGTTTCTGCAGTTTGAGTCCTGTCAAGAAGTATAAATTACAATGCTCTAAATTTGTGCTGTCTGCATACAGTTTGAACCATGAGTCACTCGGTGACCTTTCAGACAAGTCTCACGACCTCCTCTCAGCACTCAGCCTGTCCCCACCTCAGTGTTTCTGTTGTTTTAGGGCTGTGTAACCATTCCACATGCTTAGAAATGATTTTTCTTGTCTGGTCTTTTTTCTTGAGTGGTTCTATGGCTGGATTCTGTAGTAAGGACTAAGGCAACTCTAGAATCAGACTGCCTGGGTACAAGGCTATGCCACTTCCTATGTAACCTTGGGGAAGTTACTTATCCTTGCTGAACCTCAGTTTTCTTTTCTTAAAAATGGAAATAATAATAATAACACCAACTTTATAAAATTGTTATGAAAACAAAGTGAGTTACTATATGGTACATGGTAAGCTATTAATAAAATTGAGTTACTATCACATCGTACAATGATCAAAAGCCAAGAGTCGACAGATGTTGGGCTTAAATTCTAACTTCACCAAAAATGGCTATGTGGACGTAGGCTAGTTACTTGATTCAGGCCTTACTATGGATAAATATAGTCTTCCTCATCAGATTGCTAAGCAGTTAAATGATTAACAAATGTAAAGAACTGAGAATAGGTTTGGTTCCATAGCAGTGAATAGGCATTACACTGTTCAGAGGGCCTATCTCATGGATCTTCTGTCTCCACTGCCACTTGATTCATCTCCGTGAAGTTTACCTCCTGTCATTATCTAGCTACTTCATTGAAGAAGTGTCTGTGCTGCTGGAATCACCACCAGTTCTGCAGCCGGAACCACTCCTATCCCTTACTTTGATCTAACATAGGCTTCTTAGCACATTGCTCTCTACAGGAGGGTTTTCCTATGATGTGCTTCCAGTGCAAACCCCCTCTAGACTCAGCAGAAAAGCCCACCTCTTTGGAGTCCCCCCAGATAACCCCTGTTCACAGGGGCATGTCCTTTACCATGAGCTCCACACCCCTGTGAATACCACTTAAGACAAAGTCCAATATGCTATCCATGTTGCCTACTATTATAGCATCATAACAATAACAAATTTAGTAATTCCTAAGATGAACTCAACACCCTGTGTCAGGAAAATCTAGGAGACAGACACTGTCATTTTCAGCATCTCAGTATGGAGAAAACATAGGCATAAATAGGTCAGTAACCTGCCCAAGGTTACACAGCCTTTAATGGCGTCCACACAGGCATTGCATCATCTTATCAGGAGATACCCAGGGACACTATATTTGCCTCTGGGGACCAGTCTCTTTACCTAGCGCTTTCCTCTTTTCCCTTGATCTCTTCCAATCACTCCTCTTTTTCAATAAATAGTGCCCTTGGCTTGTCACCCTCCCCTTACTAGGCTCATTTTTAGGAAAAGATCAGGTGTCAACCTCCTGGTGGAGGGATGTACTGAAGTCAGTAGGAAGTGGGAAGGGACTGTGCTCTTTTTGAAGAAAGTGATACAGGAATGATGGTTGGGGATTCGAATTTCAGAACTCAGTTGCTGCTTCATTGGAAGTGAGGTTATTTTCAATGTACTCAGAAAAGCAGGAGCTGAAGGTGTAGAGTCAACATCCAGAGCTGGTTCCTGCCCAGCTTCCCCTGGATCCTACCTTGGCACTGTGCCCAGGCAGAAGGAAGTTTCTCCTTTGCAATCCTGCCTCCATTTTCTGTAGGGCCGAGGAGCCAGGAAAAAGTGGTCACCACAGAACATTCTCTGTTCTATCTTCAGGGCTACAGCTGGGGTACTCAGACAGCCCAGGAGAATGTGACTGATAGCAGACAGCTCTCCCAGGTCATTTTCATTCTCCCTGTTTTCCAGTGGGACTAAAGAATTGAGGTCTATGACTGGCATTATATGTTAAGATCAAGGCACATTTCAGTTCTCTAATGCGGCATGCTTCAGATCTTTGTGAGAATAAATAGACCTACCGCCCTTTTGATTCAGGAGGTCTGGACCAAGGTTCAGAAATCTGGCCTGGTAATCAGCACTTCTCCAGTATGAGTCCACCTTTTGGGAAACACCACTCTTTGAAGAGTCTCTGAATGTTCATGGTGATCACCTGAAACTCCAAGGGCACCTCTTGGCAAAGTGTTGTTTCTACCACCCTGGCACCTGCTGCCTCCCTGTTGTGCAGGGAGGATTCACAACTTCTTGTGAGAATAGCCTTCTTATTTTAAGCCTTGCACTCACTGGAGACAATAGGAAGAAAGCTTACTGGCAACAATAAAATCTATGGGGAGTTGGAGGCAGTGGCAGCAATGACCTTGGCCTGTCTTAGGTTAGAGAAGGTCTGAGAGCTAGGCTGCCAGGTCATGAGACCTGGCTTAGCACAGAGCTAACACTGGAATCCTACCATGAATTGAATCTCATGGCCTCAGTCCTTACTAGTTGGAAAATCTATTAACCCCCTCTAATCCCCAGTTTTCACTTTTGGAAAAATAATGTGACATATTGAGGCAAGTCAAGTGCTGAGTGCAGTCCCCAAAGTATGTGGGCCCCTGTGTCCTGCTGGCTTGGGGCTCACCGAGACCAGCCTTGCTGTCTTGAGGCTTTGTGTCACCCCAGTTAGGGGAACTGGGAGACTTTAGGACTTGGCTTTTCTCTGAACTTTGGGTGCTGGAGAAAACTCACAAAAGAGCACAGGTTCTGTCAGGAGCTCTCATGTTCAGACAAGAAAACAGAGCTTTCAGTCAGGCCTCCCTCTGCCTGCTCTGCATAGTGGTACCCTGATGAATATCTGAGCTACAAAGGCCAACCCTGTCAAGAGGGGATTTCCTGATGGTCAAGTTTCAGCCAGAAGAGACAAGGTCACCAATTCCAGGAAATGCCCCACCTGTGAGACATGATGACTTTACAAATAACTGTGGGAGGGAGAGTTGGAGAGTGGCCTGGGGTGTGGGTAGGCAACTAGTCAGAAATAAGCAGTGACATTTTCCATGTGGAAAAAATATCCCCAGGGAACAGGATGGCCAAGAATGGGTCACCAAAGACCATGCACCCCAGTCCCACATCTTACTCCTCCTCTCCTGAGCCCTTCCACTCACTCTTCTATTTCTTGACCTAATTTAGCATTTTGCTCCATGTTAAATAATTATCTGTGCAAGAGTCTTATTAGAATGTCTCCTCTTCTCAGGGTATTAACAGGGCTTTATTTGTACTAGAATATTAAACAGAGCTACCAGTTCACCAGCACTGGGACTCTGTGCTAGTCATTGTGCTAGGTTTACATATATGAGAATGTTTAATCCTCACAACACACCAATGAAAGAAATGCTACTTATTCTCATTTTATGTATAGGAATTGGGCTCGGGAAGAAAAAGAAACCTGACAAGTTTTCCAAAGCTAGTGTGAGATGAGCTGGTCTTCAAACTCGGTCCTGATGCCAAAGAGAGAGTGTACAGTCCTGTCATTCCAGATATGGCCTTGCTCCTGGGGAAGGAGCAAGTGCTGCCAGAAAGGCAGTGACTCAGGCTTTCCCTGGGCTTACTTACTTTCAATCTCTATTTTGAGAAGATTCACAGGTAGGTTCCTTTACATACTGAAGTTTGAGATGGACTGGGCTACATCATCACCTTGAAAAGTTCATCACCCTGTATTTATACACCCGCGTTCATAGAAGCGTTATTCATAATAGCCAGCAGTTGACAGCAATCCAAGTTTCCATCAAAGGATAAATGGATAACGAAATGTGGTCCATACATACAATGGAACGTTATTCAGTCCTACAAAGGATAGGAATTCTAACGCATGCACTATCATGAATGAACCTTGGAGACATTATGCTAAGTTAAATAAACCAGTCACAAGAAGATTGTGTGGTTCCACTTATAGAAGATACCAGGCATAGTCAAGTTAATAGAGATAATGTACAATGGTAGTTGCTAGGGGAAGGTAGAAATGGAGAGTTGTTTAAAGGGTACAATTTCAGAGTTTTTTTAAAAAGAAATGTTCATTTAATTTTATTTACACTTTTTTATTATTTTTATTTTTAGTTTGCTACAGAGTTCATGCATTCACCAGACAGAGAGAGAAGGAGAGAAAGAGAGAACATGAGAAAGCAAGCTGCCAGGTCCAGGACTCAAACCATTTAAACCACAGTTGGCTGTGTGAGAGTCCAGTACCTTAACCACCATGTCACTTGCTGGTCCCCAGAGTTTCAGTTTTGCAAGATGAAAATGTCATAGGGTGGGTGCCACCACACCCTGCAAGATGAAAATGTTGTGGAAATTGATTGCACAACAAGGTAAATGTGTTCAACATTTCTGAACTGTACACTTGAAAATGGTGATAAATTTTATGTTATGTGTATTTTAACACAAGTAAAATAAATAAATAAAAGGCCCAGCACCATGTGTTGCATTTAAGATGATAGAAGGTCTGCTGTGAAACTGGGTAGCAACCTAGCACAGGATAAGCCGATCAGGCTAGCTCAAGTGCAGCTCTCCAACAGGAGAGCCTTTGGGCTATGTATGATATTATAGAGCAGATTTAGTGAAGAAAATTAGGGTCCTTTGGGGTAGGTAGTGGAAGCCTCCAGGAAGATGAAGTTCAAGTTCTACCAGCAGCTCCAGCAGGTCACTGGCTTGTCCCCTAATCAGCCTAATACCAGGCAGATGGAGGAGCTTTGCCAGGACTGCCAATACAAGGACAACCAGGAACACCGGAAATCTCTGGCACGAAAGCCAGCTGACCCCATTGCTGAGCTCACCACAAGGCCTTTCTCTCCATGTGACTTGGGTAATGAGAGTTTTACACAAACCCTGTAAGTGCTCAGGAAGCATGTTTCCCTCCTCAGTTATAAGCAGGTTGCTGTATGTAATTGCACACGCTGTACTTTGTGTACGAGTGTGGAAGAGGAGACATATGCCTCCCTCGTCAGGAGAGAAGTCAAAAGACAAAGACAACTCAAGTCAAATAATAAGAGATCCAAAAGTGGAAAGAGAATAAAGTACATAACATTAAAAAAGATCTGGAAAGTAAGATCAAGCATTTTTAAATCTGATATCAAATGTGAATAAATTATCCTTCCCTAAGCAGTGTTAAAATTGCTCAGACTTGGCTTAAAAGAAAAAAAACTCACGCATATGTTGTTTACAAGAGAATCATTAAGACAAAGTGATCTATTAAAGGCAAAACAAAAAATAGAAGGTAACAATCAGACAAACATAAGTAAGAAAGTAGGCTTGACAATTAGAATAAAAGGCAAAATAATTCAATGAAAAGGCAGCAAAAAGGACAAAGGACACTTTCTAATGCTAAAATGTACCACTGAGGCTCTAATAATAGTGATAGGCTGAATAAAATACAAATAAATACTTAAAACAAATCTGTAGAAAATCGCCACAATCGGAGAAATACTAAGGGACAATGCTTACATAGTCCTTATTATGTGCCAGACACTGTTCTGAGGCATCTTATTAATAGTAACCAATTTAATTTTCATAACAATCTAGGAAATCAATATTACTACTACCATTTTACAGATGAAGAAGCTGAGACATAAAGAAAATCACATCAGTCTTATAGTATTTTCCAACTAATAATATGCCACCTCTGTCACATGGAGAAAACAAAGTAAGAAATAACTCAATATTTCCCATAAAGAATAAGGGGGTACTTCTCATCCCCTTTACTTAAACTAACTTTTACCCATTGATTTCCTAACAAAGTGACCTGATCATTTGTCAGCAAAGGTCTTAGAGAGCATCTTTTTTTTTTTTTTTTGAGAGATTTTCACTGTAGGGTGCGTGCGCTCGCCAGACAGACAGAGAGAGACATAGAGATAGAAAGCGAGAAATCACCCCCCAGGGGGGATGGTCACGCCGCAATCCCTTCTCCTCCATTCTCCTCTCGGGATCTTGGGCACGCACGCACACGTGCCCGGCGTGAGTTTTAAGCCACCGGGTCTGGGACACGAACCGCGGTCGACTACGTGGGAGCCCAGCGACATAGCCATTACGCTAACTGCTGGTTCCCTTAGAGAGCATCTTAAGTTCCCTTCTGTTCCCTAAGTTCCCTGTGTGACACAGGCACATGGATTATTGTCTTTTATTTTGTCGGAGAGATTTTTGCTGTAGGATGTGTGCACTCTTGGAGAGACAGAGAGAGACAGAAAGACAGAAAGTGAGAAATCACTCCTCAAGGGTGGTAGCCACACAGCAATCTCTTCTCCACCCCTCTTCTCTTGGGATTTTGGGCATGCCAACACACACTCCCGGCATAAATTTTAAGCTGCCAGGTCTGGGACTCTAACCACGGTGGGCCATGTGTGAATCCAGTATCTCAACCACTATACCACCTGCTAGCCCAAAATTATTGTCTTTTAAATGTGATCTAGCCTCATTTTAGAGCAAATCCTTTGTGAACAAATCTTCTGCTTGGAGAACCCATGTCTGCTGCTCAATTCTCCCAATCTGCTTTATTGACACTGTTGTCAGTTTCAGAGTGGAAGCCTCGGGCCTAGAGATTGTAGTTTAGTTAAGAGGAAGGCCTGAGAGATCACTCTAGCAGCTGCATAATGTTCCCTTGAGAACCCCATTCATTTTAGAGGATGGAAAACTGTAACCCAGTAATTAGGCTAATGTCCATTTATAATTATTGCCATTTATAATACCTTCTCCTCCTACACTGACAACATTTTCTCTAAGGTTCTGATATATATGTATATATTTCTTTATTTTCTTTTAAGAATTATTTTCTGTCTGAGACATTCTCAGGAAATGAGAAAATTGTGAAAGAGAAAATGAGAGTAGACATGGATTTACTCACGAAAGGATGAAGAGACTCCAAATTCAAGTTTAGTGTAGCTCTAGAAGAATAAATCACAAAAATCATGAAGCACAAAGTGATTCTCCTTGGGGATTTCATTTCTTCACGTTTGAGTTGCTTTGCCTGAAATGGAAATGTGATGGTTTAGAGATAGAACAATTTATTTATTAAATGAGAAAATAACTAGGAGTCCTGTCTAGAAGGTCACACCATACGAGGAACTTTTCAATAAAGAGGGGAAAGGAAGGATGCTAAAATAATCAACTTCAGAGAGCCATCTCTGCTCAGGACTCTTGAGTGAAGGACCGATGATGTTATAGGGAGGGCAGTTGTGAGGGTAAAGTTGGTACGTTGTAAATAGGACAAAGGGGGAACCAGCAGTTAGCGTAATGGCTATGTCGCTGGACTCCCACATAGTGGACCGCGGTTGGCGTCCAGGACCCAGTGGCTTAAAACTCACGCCGGGCGCGTGTGCATGCGTGCCCAAGATCCCGAGAGGAGAATGGAGGAGAAGGGATTGCAGCGTGACCATCCCCCCTGGGGGGGGTGATTTCTTGCTTTCTGTCTCTCTGTCTCTCTCTGTCTGGCGAGCGCACGTGCCCTACAGTGAAAATCTCTCAAAAAAAAAAAAAATAGGACAGAGGTACCGGATGTTTGAGTACTTTTACTATATATGAAGGGACTTTCAAAAGTCTGTGGGAAATAGATAAAGTATGAATTTATTTTGGTGAAAAAATTGAAATCCATTCATAATTATTTTATAATATGCATTTTCTGTGAACTTTTTAAGGCTCGCCTTCCACTGCCCCATATACATAGAAAGAGAAAGGAAGAAAGAGGGGAAGAATGAAGACAAAACAAAAAAGCAAGGGGAAAAAAATTCTTAGTAAGAAATACTTTTAACATGGTCCAGTATACATAAAACATGAATGAAGGGATTCTGAAAACACTACTCATTTTTGCTACATGCAATGTATGTTGATATTTTTAATTCAATCCTATCTTACTCACCCAATTTTTTTCTTTTAATCCTGGTATCAACTCATTAAATTTACCACATGATCCTTATTAATGTGCTACAACCCATATTAATGGACTCCTGGACTTAGTTCAGGAGTTTTTACATTTTTATATTATAAAAATATAAATTGTATATTACAGTATAATATCATATTATAGTACATAATACAGAATATCCCAGCTCACATACTTATTTTTAAGAACTATTTCTTTATCATGCTGGGGATGAAAACAGAACATGCTGGTGGCCAGATTAGTCACTGTTTGATTTAAAATGTAGAGTATCATATGGAATTAGCCTAACCCTACTAGGACTGATGGCCGACCATCTACGTTGTACAGACTCCTTCCGACTGACTTTTCCATCCCCAAGTGTAGTAAAAGGAGCACTGAGGATCCATGATTACTATAAAGTAACTGTGTCCTTAAATAAATCACTTTAATATTCCGAGTCCAAGCTTCCTGTCTGTAAAATAAGGAAAATTATATTTCCTTTAATTTTTTCACAGTTTTCTGAGGTTTAAATGAGATTAAAAGTCATGACAAGGGACCGGCAGATGGTGTAATGGTTATGTTGCTGGACTTTCATGTAATCGACTGTGGTTTGAGTACCAGAATTGGTGGCTTGAAAATCACACTGGGCTTATATGTGTACATGCCCAAAATTCCAAGAAGAGAATGGAGGAGAAAGGATTGCAACATGGCCATCCCCCCAGGGGGGTGTCTCACTTTCTTTCTCTGTTTCTCTCTGTCTCTCCAGCAAGCACACATGCCTTATAACCAAAAAAAAAAAAAAATCTGTCTCAAAAAAAAAAAAAGCTATGACGAGCTTCAAGGATGCAGGCTGCAATGAGTGCCACTCTGATTATCAGTGGAATCCAGAGAGCAATTAGCAAGGTCAGACTTTGGCTGAAGTGGTGTAGAGAGCATGAGGGAACCATGGCCAGGATAACACACTGACAATAGCCAAGGTTTACGTGCCAGGAAGAACTGTATTTCAATCATCAGCTGTCGACTGCAGACCTTTCCTCTTCCCTAGTGTAACAGAAGGAAACACAGGGCCCTGAAAAAGCCAACCTATTGCAAATTTGGCAATCAAATACATTTTTAAAATTCTACAACTCCGTGGTTTTGGGGAAATGCTTTGCAATTCAGGTTATGAGAATAGATATTTAAAGACCAGGTGCATCTACTTTAGCAATTAAGCTGCACACTGTTTAGTACTATAGTAGATGTTCCCCATTCTTTGTTGAAAGGGAATGGGCTTTGTGGGTACTGGGCTGCTGATTTGGCCTGCTGCTAGCAACTGTCCCTGGGATGAATGAGGTATCTAAGAGGCAACTTAATCTTTTCAGGTCCCAGCTTAAAGCTCTATACTCATTGGCTCCATATTGAGGCAGTTAATCAAGGAGACCAGATTAGTAACTGAGGTCATGACTAGACCTTTTGTGATGGTCAATATGGTACCATCTCTTCCTGCCTCCTACCTCCCTAAGGCAATTCTTGATATAATTCATATTCTTCTCTGTTGACTTATTTATTGACAACACAACTTCAGGTTCATGGAAACAGAGATGTAGGGAAGGGCAGACGGTGGTGCAGCAGTCAATTGGAACACTCTGGGAGGGTAATTCACATGAGGGCGTTCTGTCTTTAAGTCCAGAGACCTTCCTGAGTACACTGAGCTCGTAGTTTATAGTTCTGGGCTGGCTATGTCTGGGGGTGGGTTGAGGCATAAAGATCTTGTCTCTTGTTTGTGCAATAAATAAAGAAATAAACTTTAAAAAAAAAAGAGGAAGAAAGAGAAATAGAAAGGTAGGGAGGATCCTACTGCTGGGAGGGTATGTTCTCTGGATACAGAAAAATGATATGTAGTTATCAGTCACACAGACAGGGTAAGCGGTTTTGCTCTTGAAAGAAAGGAGAATGCCACTTCTTTGGGTGGGATAATATCCAAAATAGTTGACAACCAGTATAGTAGGAGCTTGACCAATGGGAATTATGATACCAACTGAAGATGACCTCAGATTTTGAGATTGCTCTACATTTGAAAAAAGACATGAAGGCAAACTTTTTTCTTAACCTATATTAACAATCTTGTATAAATTCTCCAGCTTACAGGTATTCCCACCTGTGAAGAAGCCTTAACTTGGCTAGTGGGGAAAAAGTCGACATGGTCTTCTAGTTAAGATTGTAAAGCAATCGTCTATGTTCAAGGCAATGTGTCTTCAGTAGAATCTCTTTCATCAAAAATATAAAATTTTCATTTTTAAGTTTGTGGAGTAAAGGGTAGACAAAAACTGAGAGACATAGGGGCCAGGAGGTGGCATGGTGGTTAAGGTGCTGGATTCCCACATGGCAGACTATGGTTCAAGTACTTGGCCTGGTGGCTCAATAATCATGCAGGGTGCACAACTGTGTGCCCAAAATCCTAGGAGGAGAATGGAAGAGAGAGCATGTCCATACCTCCCGGGAGGGAGAGTGATTTCTCCCTTTTCCTGTCTCTCTCTGTCTGTCTGGCAAGTACATGTACCCTATGGCAAAAACCTTTAAAAAATGATTTTTCCTTTTGAGAGACAAGAAAAATAGAGGAGTAGACTGTAGGAATATTACCTGATGTCATTTCCAATCTCTTTCTCTTTTTAAATTAAAATCCTAGACAGTCTTTACTAAAACTAGCCAATCTGTATGAGCCAGATATATATTTGAAAAAGCTTAGATATGTGATCTAATTCTCAATATTAACCCTGTGGTACTGAGTGATTTCCTGATCTCTGACTCTATTTTCCTGTCTGTGAAGTTAGAAGAGGTGGAGAAGAAAAGAAAGCACACCATGACATCATATCCCAAGAATAAGTCATTGAGATTCTCAGCAGCACTGAATTTGAGGGGGAAGAGCCTAGGTTCCTTGAAGCAGTGAATAATGACACTTTTGGGGGAGTGATTAGGCATCAGGAACTGTTGTGAAACCAGTTTGCTCTCCCAAATCTTGGGAAAATTAGTGCTTAAGATCAACTCCTCTCTGAGAATCCCTACATTGACTCTGACTTGCTTCAATTTTCCTTGGGGTGAGAAGGCTATGGGGTAAGTAGAAAGTGGAGTAAGTACAAAGTGGGCTTCTGTGCCTTGCAAGGTGCAAAGCATGCTCACAAAGTAGCCACATCTGTGTGGTCTGTGGTCTGAGCGCCTAATGTCATCATGACATTGTGAGTCCAAGTCTCCCCAGCAAGCGCACACGCCGTAAAAACAAAAAAAAAAAAAAATCTGTCCCAAAAAAAAAAAAAGCTATGACGAGCTTCAAGGATGCAGGCTGCAATGAGTGCCACTCTGATTATCAGTGGAATCCAGAGAGCAATTAGCAAGGTCAGACTTTGGCTGAAGTGGTGTAGAGAGCATGAGGGAACCATGGCCAGGATAACACACTGACAATAGCCAAGGTTTACGTGCCAGGAAGAACTGTATTTCAATCATCAGCTGTCGACTGCAGACCTTTCCTCTTCCCTAGTGTAACAGAAGGAAACACAGGGCCCTGAAAAAGCCAACCTATTGCAAATTTGGCAATCAAATACATTTTTAAAATTCTACAACTCCGTGGTTTTGGGGAAATGCTTTGCAATTCAGGTTATGAGAATAGATATTTAAAGACCAGGTGCATCTACTTTAGCAATTAAGCTGCACACTGTTTAGTACTATAGTAGATGTTCCCCATTCTTTGTTGAAAGGGAATGGGCTTTGTGGGTACTGGGCTGCTGATTTGGCCTGCTGCTAGCAACTGTCCCTGGGATGAATGAGGTATCTAAGAGGCAACTTAATCTTTTCAGGTCCCAGCTTAAAGCTCTATACTCATTGGCTCCATATTGAGGCAGTTAATCTCTTCCTGCCTCCTACCTCCCTAAGGCAATTCTTGATATAATTCATATTCTTCTCTGTTGACTTATTTATTGACAACACAACTTCAGGTTCATGGAAACAGAGATGTAGGGAAGGGCAGACGGTGGTGCAGCAGTCAATTGGAACACTCTGGGAGGGTAATTCACATGAGGGCGTTCTGTCTTTAAGTCCAGAGACCTTCCTGAGTACACTGAGCTCGTAGTTTATAGTTC